CTTCTTTCGCGCTTCCGTGCAGGAAAAATCCTTGAAGTATCCACCGCTTCCTCTATAGGCAGAAATTCCTTCATTTGTTTCCGGTTCCTTTAGACAGAACTTTGCTTTCGAATAGTCTCCTCGGTCCAGACTTCGTCGCACCTCGTGGGTAACATTGCAAGTTGAAACTTACTGGAACTAACGACGACATTCCTTCACTAATTTGATGTCCAAAGTAGAAGCCAGGTTGACCAAATAGGGGTGAATCATATTTCATAAAGATGGACAATGGAAAAATATGATTTCAGTCATTCCTCGTTTATTATGCAACAAACCAACAGGCAGAAGACATTTATCACAAGGATAGGATAAGATCACCATATCCGAAGTAAACTATCACTGCAATTCGAACTCTCCCAGAATTCAGAGCCTGTATATTAGCCCGCAGACAAATTGAGAGGTTTTTTAGCTGGCGGTCACCGAAACTGTGGGAAAGTGAAACAAGAATATTATTTCTGTTCAAAATGTATAAAGTATAAGTAAAGTTGGTTTGGAGCAAAGACAGCAGTATTGAAACTGTGGGAACTAGATCGTTAACTAAAGCTTTTAGCTTCCTGGTTACAACTATGCGTTCAGGACTTTCTCGCCCCCTCGTTCTGTTTTCATTTGCTTTAGCCTTATCCACCTTTTTATCACATTGCCAGCCTATACTTCAATTCAAAATGACGTCATTTGGTAAGCATAGATGACCGTAGTTACTTAGACAACGAGGAATGCAATGGTTTCACGTGGTCGAATGTTGACGAAAATCCTGCGGCTATGCTTTCCATTCGAACAGTCGCTTTTCGTTCCATGATTGCATTCTGTAAACATATTGTGACAAACAAACATACAATATTTTTACTTTTGCCTCATTACTTGAACAACTTTTAGCATTTGGCTGGATCGATCAGAGTATTGCATGTTTGTGTTGTTTAAACAAATTTGCTCGATGCATCCATGAAAAAAGGCAATTACAGGATCCAGGTAAAGAGGTTATTCAACCGAACTTGAAGTTGTGCAACAGCTTTGCTCTAAAGCTCATAGATAATAGTAACATTTTTTCACTACGACTACTGTTGGTTCCATTTTCAGCGAAGTTGAAGGCTGAACAAAACGTCAACATCAGAAATGCTAAAAC